CAGGCTGGCGCCGCGCTCTGCAGCCAGCTCAAGCTGGTGCCGCCATCAGCCTGTACTCCGGAGCTGGAGGAGAAGGTGCTCGAGCTGCATAAGACTCACAGGTGAGTTTATACTAGACCAGTTACCAAAGGTGTAGAGACCCTACGGAGTCTATGGAAGATCAGACGCTGGACTATGGTTGAAAGGATTTATCTTAAAGGTTATGGATTTGTTTTGCTTTAAGATCTGCAAAAAATTAGGAATATAAGAAAATAATTTTTCTTAATCTTGTTAATAATAAGGGAGATCCTAAATCTAACCTATTTGCATTGTACACTAATTGGGTATGTCTCATCATAAAGTTAACTTCACATCTTTAATTGTAACTGCACTATTTTACTTGCACAATGAGAACTGAATACCTTAGATGATAGCACAGTTCAACTGTTCAATTAAAAGGTGTATAGCCTTACACATAAGTTCACTTTGATGATATCCAATAATTTTGTTTATTGTCACTTTGCAGAGGCCAGACGCCTGCGGAGGCGGAGCTGAACTACCTGGAGAACGCCAAGAAGCTGGCGATGTACGGCGTGGACCTCCACCCCGCTAAGGATTCGGAGAACGTCGACATCACCCTCGGCGTCTGCTCCTCAGGACTTCTCGTGTATCGGGAGAAGTGAGTATACCACATTTTAGATCAGGACGCCTGCTATTTTTTAATACACGGGTTAGAAAAGACTACTCGTATCTTTTGAAAAATATCAGTTAACGGACATTTTATCACAATCAGGCTATATGTCCTCACTGTGGCTCTCAGAGCCATCTCTAAGTCAGTGATTAAGTCATAGTTAATACTTCACTGTGGACTGACTTCACTTTAAATGTCTACTTATGTTTAGGTTACATCACAATGTTTTCCTTAAAAGAAAGTTTGTAAATAATTCTGCCAAATAACTGTTATTGTTAAGAAATGAGGTTGTAACTTACAACCCCGTTTACAACTTATAAGACATCGAACGCTTTTTATATTTTTATATTTGACTTCTTTTTTTAATATATGACAATTTATAAATATGTAAAAACAAATATATTTTTTCACTTCGCAATCGATCGTTTTCCATTCACCCCGCCTCCAATCTTTATCAGTTATTTCACACAATCTTTGAACCCTTATTATGGATCTTTAGGATATGAATTTTGCATTTCTTAGTGCTCGTCTACTAATAGAAATCTATATGTAAAAAATTAGGACTAGGAGTTTCGACTGTGCTACTTTGTTAGCTAAAATCATACTAATATTATAAATGCGTAAGTATAGATGGATGGATGTTTGTTTTGTTTTTTTTTAATTGGATGGATGGAATCGCGGGCGAAAGCTAGTCTGTCAATAATTACAATAAAAAATTAAAAAGACAAGTAATACAAAATTACTAATCTGTTCGTTTGATTATAAAACGATATGTGGAGATTGAAATGTTATATTAAAGTATGTATGTAGGCTCCGTATCAATCGCTTCGCGTGGCCCAAGATCTTGAAGATCAGCTACAAGCGGCACAACTTCTACGTGAAGCTGCGGCCCGGGGAGTTCGAGCAGTTCGAGTCCACGGTCGGCTTCAAGCTCGCCAACCACCGCGCCGCCAAGAAGCTGTGGAAGACGTGCGTCGAACATCACACATTCTTCAGGTAACAACTTTTAAACGGGTATTTTTAACTTTATTACGCCTTTTTTATTTACACAAGAAAAAGTATAATGTTTTCAAATAATGTCGCCAAACTGCATAACAGTTCATTGGCGATAGTCACCCATTTCTTCTTACACTTGAGTTGTGAGTGTTTGATAAAATGAAATGAATTATTTCATTTAATAAATAAATCCAATGTACGTAGACTGATGAGCCCCGAGCCGGCGCCGCGCGGCACTCTGTTCCCGCGACTGGGCACCAAGTTCCGGTACAGCGGGCGCACGCACTACGAGTCCCGCGCCGCGCCGCCGCAGCGCGCGCCGCCGCTCTTCGCGCGCACGCTCTCCAACAGGAAGCTCTCCTCGCGCAGCATGGACGGTGAGCACGACATACACCATACACCATAAACACTATATACACTAAAACACCACGTACACCTTAAACACTATTTACACTATAACACCACGTACACTTTATACGCCACGTACACCATATACATTAACAGCTTTACAAATAAACGCGGTATAAAGTTAAACTTGGGAATAAACTGAGTATAAGTAAAATTTGTACTGATATTTGCATATACTCAGTTTATTCCTAAGTTTCACTTTATATTGCGTTTATTTGTGGTTCATTTTTATATCTATACTGATGTTATAAAGAATAAAGTTTTGTTCTTATGGAATTTTGTATATATTTAAATAACTCAAAAAATACTGGGCTGATTTAAAAATATAATATACTTGCTGTTGCTCGCGACTTCGTCGGCGTGAAATGAAAAAATATAGCCTATGTTACTCACAGATATACAACATTTCTAACGGTGAAAGAATTTTTAAAATCGGCCTAGTAGTTTTTACGTTTATTGAATACATACAAAAATTCAAAAAATACAAATCTTGCCTCTTTATAATATTAGTATAGATAACATAATATATAAAAGTGCAATAAACATTTTCTTATGAAATTCATATGTATTTGCGAATGTCGCCAAACTTGGAGGACGTTCAAAGATATAACTTTAAATTTCATCATCGACTCGTTTACAACGAAACTCAATGTAATGCACTCGAAATAAACTTGTTATAAGAAAAATAACATTGTCAATGATATTTGTGTTATGTCTGACTCGAACGCTGTCATGTGCCACCTTTATAATAATGACTAGCTGTTCCCGTGCGGCTTCATCCGCATTAAAATAATAAAAATTTTATTTTATTGTTCACATTTGTCAAATTATCAATCGCAAATGTCAAAATGACATTACATGACAAACCTTAGCAATCTCGGTTCCTTGATGTTGGCAACAACTTATGGTCTTTTTTCCACATTAGGGTTTTTATCCAAAATATTTACCCCTAAGTTTAATGGCGTGAAAATATATAGCCTAAAACATGACGTAAGTGTAGGGCTTTTTATTAAAGAAGGAGTTATTCAAAAATATGCTGTAATTGCTGACATCTTAGGCAACAAAGAAGTGTGTGTTTTATTTCACGCGGACGGAGTCGCGGGTAAAAGCTAGCGGTAGAATGTTTTTAATATAGTTCCAGAAGTTTTGTAGTTTATTCGTAACATACAGAAATACAAATCTTTCCTCTTTAATATTTGTATATAAAATAAACAACGCACGCGAAAAGCTTACTAACGTTTTTTATGTACTTTTCAACGTAAACTTTGAAATATTTCAGATTTGTGTAATTAATGTTTCAACATTCCATTCTTTAAGTTTTTGGTTCGTTTTTAAATAATATATGAATACATAAATAGTAATATTTAGGTTAAAAGGGATCTTCGACCGATGGTCAATTAAATGTTATTCCAGTACATTTGTGTACGCAGCATTGATTTTGTGATTTCCTAAGCCAGTGGTTCTCAATCTGTTTTAAATAATTATCTCATATTCATAAGTTCGTGAAAAATAAAATTATATTAACCGGTTTCTTTACTTTTTATAGTTTGTTTTTATACAAAGAATCTTTTCTTTTTAACAATGTATTAAAATTGTTTGTGTCAAAATTAAAATTTCTTATTTTTTTAAAAAAAAAAAATATCAGTTCTGAGAAGTTGTTTCAACTATTTAATACTAGCTTTTGCCCATGACTGTATTTGCCTTAGTTAAAAAAAATCGTTTTTTTAGTAATAACCAGTAACAAAAGTATTTTCAAATCAGTCTAATAGTCTTATTTTTTATTCGTTATCTATACTAACATTGAAAGATTTGTATTTTTGTATGTATTGAAATAACTCAAAAACTACTGGGCCGATTTCAAAAATTTCTCCAAGTAACATAGGCTATGTTTTTTATTATTATTTTAATTTCACGCGGACGAAGTCGCGAGCAACAGCTAGTATACAATAAAACATTTCTTTTTTCTATTATATCAGTAAAAATAAATTATTTTGTTCAATTAATATTTATTAAATTCTTACTATTAAGAAAGTTTGAGTACCACTGTCATATTCTACGTAGCGTGTGTAGCGTCCAAAACTTAGTTACGATTTGAGTCATATCGTACAGATGCAGCGGCACGGCTTTATGCGAGATGACATCATTGCTAACAGACATTTGGCAAAAACTCGCTAATGCAACACAAATGATGTCATTCATTGTTATTATCCCACTGAAGTGATGTTTTCGTTTATTTTTATTATTTTTAAGGGTTTAGTAAAAATAAGCCAATAGTTTAACGAGCTGAGCTCAGATTTTTTTTTTTCATAACATAAGGTGCAAGCGAGCAAGCGGCCACTTCAATCAGCCAAAATGGCGAAACGACCGCTGCCCATAGACATCCGCAATTGCAGATGCGTTGCCTACCCTTATCCGTCGGAGGAGGAGACGCACATAAAGAGGATATTTCCCCTTCCTATGCATATTCTCCACCGTCAAATCCACTTCCTCTTCCCATACTCTTCTTATAAGAAAAGGGTGGTAAAGAGAAAGGGACTTAAATTAGATTTCCGGAGTCGAAGAGATTTTCATGTATTAGATTCGAATCCTACCTTTAGATTATTTCCGTAGACTATATTTTAGCACTAGCCTAAAGTTTAGTTGGACTGGTTTTAGAAATATTAATAAATCAATAAAATAAATAACTTTGATAATTTTAGCGTGTTTATACGTTTAGCGTGTTAGTAATAACTTACTTAATAATAGTAATCAATCGATTATAAATCAATCGATTCGGTAGTAATAAAAATCTAGACTTCCTAAAACCTAGGTGACCTAGATAGTCTAAAGTCGTCTATTCTAGTCATAGTCACATCTCGCATAACACCGTCCATTCAAACAGTGAAGTAGACGATATAAATACACTGTGAAGTAACGCACCGACGTAATCATTACTTCTATAGTAGCTACTGGCCACTCCAGTCGGGCAGACTGCGCGCTGTGTGGACATTTCTTGTGTTTTCTCGTGTTTTTGCTACATTTGTGATGGTTTTTAACGATTGCTGGAATCCTTCTTGTACATGTTAGTGGTTTTATTTAATTTTAAAACGTGAAACTATGTTGTTTAGTGACTTTGTTGTTTTTGGAAGTTTATTTGGTAGTATATTGTAAATGGAAATAGTGTATATGGATGAAATTTGTCTTTTTATTATTTTTTTATATGCGAGTGATATTTACTTATTCGATAATTTTATAACAATGTAAATGAACGTCAAGGTGAAAAATTATTAAAAGTAATTAATCCCTTATTTGATGTTGTTAACAGTTTGAGTATATTAAAGCATAGTTGTTGCTCTCGACTTTGTCCCCGTAAAATTAAAGTCTTAAAAATATAGCCTATGTTACTAACTGATAATGTAGCTTTTAGTGAAAGAATTTTTAAAATCGGCCAAGTAACTTTTGAGTTCAATACATACAAAAATACAAATCTTTCCTCATAATATTAGTATAGATAATAGTTTGAATATGAAGGTATAATTTAATTTCTAAGTAATTACAAAAATGTGTAAATTCTGTCGACTTTACAATGATGATTGTTTTTAAAAGAAATCTTTTGCTATATATACTATTGGTGTATTACGTTTAAGACGAAATATCGTTTGTTAGTCAATTACCACTGATAGATGATTCACGTCTTCAGTATGTAATAGCTATTATTGTTTAAAAAAACGTAACTAGGGTCACTTGTTCCGTTGTTTTCCTCGGAGATCCCGAGAGAAATTTGGCAATGTTAATCTATACTTATTATAATAAAGCGTAAACACACACTTCTTTGTTGCCTAAGATGTCAGCAATCACAGCATACTTTCCAAAAACTCTTTTTTTAATAATAAGCCCTACACTTATGTCATGCTTTAGGCTATATATTTTCACGCCGTTAAACTTAGGGGCAAATATTTTGGATAAAAACCCTAATGTGGGAAAGAGACCATAAGTTGCTGCCAACATCAACGAAGCAAGGTTGCCATGGTTTGACATGTCGTTTTGTCATTTGCAATTGATAATTTGACACATGTAAACAATATAATAAAATTTTCATAATTCTATGCGGATGAAGTCGCACGGGAACAGCTAGTTTACTAATATTTCTTTTAACTATTCCAACTAAGCTCTAGGCTTGTGCTAGGATATGGTTCACGACGATAATCGAATGGCGGGATTCGAACCTTCGTCCTCAAGATCGGTAGTCCGTACCCCAAACCATTAAGCTATTGGCGCTTAAGGAAGAACACATACTTACTTTTGCTTTTGTATTAATTCTACGCGGACGAGTCGCCGGCGAAAGCTAGTCTTTTACAGTAAAGATGTTCTCAGAATTCTTAACCGTGTTTTTATAAATATAAGATTTCCAGCGATTAGGAATATAAACAAATAGTATATCATAGCGAATTATATTCAGTACTGTAAAGTAAATAAACAGTTTTGTCAGTCTACCAATTTAGATATACAGCGGCAGATTTAATTATAGACAATTACGTTAATTGAATTGTTATTATGTTATTAACAAGAATCTAAATTAACTACCTAGTAGTTAGATAGTTTTGGTTCTGTTTAAAAACATTGATAAAACTAAGAAAATATTGCAATGTATGTATTCCATCTTACTTCGTACGTATAAATGCGAAACTTTAGATGGATGTATGGATGTTTGTAGCTTAATCTGTTGAACGGATCTCGATAAGATTAGGCAAAGATGTAGAGAAACTGGAAGAACACTAGCTATTTGTTTTAGTTTTTTAATCCCACGCGGACGGAGTCGCCAGCGATAGCTAGTTAACAATGTATTAACTACATTAACACGAATCTAAATTACTACCTAGTAGTTAAATATTTCTGCTTCTTAGAACTATTTTTAAAACTATAAGAAAATATTGCATTGTTTTCATACAATATTGATCCAAGCAATAAATCTATGCATACTCAATTTCGTATTTTATGACGCAAAATCACCCACTCGTTAAACCACAAACCACACGAAACACGATTGACTCATTCTACCCATGCTTAGGTACACGATACAGTGAAAGTCTGTTGGGTACAGTCGGAGAATTTGACAGTGTTCAACTTTTAAAATACAGGTACTTGAGGTACAAGACGATTCGGATTTTTTTTTATATAAAAAGGTGGAAAACGAGCAAGCGGCCAACTAAATCCGCTCAAATGGCGAAGCGACCGCTGCCCATAGACATCTTCAATTACTGATGCGTTACCTACCCTAAATCGATGGAGGAGGAGACGCACATAAAGACGATATTTCCCCTTCCTATGCGTCTCCTCCAAATTCACTTTTCCAGCCAATCCTTCTCTTATAAGAAAAAGGTGGGACGAAAAAGGGACTAAAATCAGGCCCTTAGGGTACAGCTATTAAATGTATCGTTTAAATGCTTGTTTAGTAGTACGTTGCTGATGGTTTTTTTTATCCCGTCGTTTGAGTTATTCAGTGATATCTAATTGGTGGAGGTGTATTTTGTCACGTTACAAATAACAAATCAATTTTTCTTATGTATGTATAAGTGGAACACCGTGAATATCCACCACTGTACCTTAGTATGTAAAATGTATGTATGTAAAAGGTAACCTTACTGTTACTTTGATATAAGATGTGTTGATGTTTTGTGTCAGCTCTGGCGGCGGGTGACAAGGATGAGTCGATGCCGCCTGACGCGGCCAAGCGACACACGATGCCGCCGCAGCCCGCGCCTCGACCTACCATCAAAGACAAGGTATGTCATGTACACCACATAATGTTATATTCTATTTATGCTTAGTTATTGTCGCGATAACCGTAGAACTCCATTGCAGTTGTATTAATGTGTGAAAATTAATTAAAAATATTGTTATCTGATGTTAACGGCAGTGGAATTCTGCGGTAAAGACCAGTTTTGACAGCACTAAGAATTCGAGTTTGATTGAGCACTCTAAGTCAGCTACATTCTGTCAATTATAACTGAAGAGTTCGACTGCTCAACTACAACTGTCAGTTTATAACTGAGCGAAAAGATTTGATTGGGCCGCGTTTTTAAATATTTTGTTCTGATTTCTGTCAAAACTAGTCTGTTTTGAATATGTTAGTTTAGTATTTTTGGACATGTATAATTTTTAAATTAGACTTTAAATCTATGTAATTTTGGTAATGTTATTATGTGTATAACTAAATAAATGTTATTTAGTGTCACTAATATTTTGTTAATTATAGCCTGATCAGGAATATAAAACCTAGACGGGGAAACTCACTTTATATTGTAATTCATCTAAGGAATTTGTTCAATATTATTGCTAAATATATCAAGAGTTTTAAATATTCCTGGTCAAGGTAAATCATAATATATTCCATGTCAGTAGTAAACATTGTAAATTATGTTTCTATTGTTGGAACACTTGTATAAAAACATTGACTTAAATTCTTTTTAAAAAACTAAATATCCACAGTGGAATTTCACCTTAAATGTAATTCATTTGAGTGATTTGTTCATTTTGTTATGGGAATTTATTCAAATATAAAATATTATTTGCCTTTACTTTTTTTTTAATTCTATTAAAAATTCTCATACAAAATGAACAATGGTAATGAAAATCATTAAAAACATATTTTAAATGCACGCGATGACATAATTCATTAAATGCTTGTTGGGTTGTAACTAAATAGTCCTTGGTAAAAACAATACATTTGTCTATTAGGTATTCCGGATTGTCTATGAGATATAAACACGATAGACAATACCCTATTGCAAAATATATTGACAATTCTAAATGTTTATAATTGTATTTGAATAATTCTGTTTAGGTTTATATTTAATTTTCGTTTTATTATGACTAAATTAGTTCTTACCAATATTAGCTTTTTTATTAATAATGTTCATCATATTTATTATAACGCCTTGTCCGCGATTTCGTCCTGAATAAAAAAAAACATTCTCTTGGTATACAATGAGGGTTAAAATACAGTCGAGGGCTTCCTACCCAATTTCAATACGTCAGTTGACGCTTAAAATCAATTTGTATTGAACATTAACACATGAATTGAATTCTCCAAATGTACAGTCGGGGAATATGTCAGTGTTCCTCTTTAAAATATAAGGTAACGGACGTTGATATGACGCGGAACAGTATACCAATAGGACGCAACTTGTAACGGTGTATTAGAAAAAAGAGCTATTTTATTACTATCCCGTGGAGACTACCAACTTGCACTGCGTGGTTGATTGACCTAGGCACCTAACCTAGGATAGGCTCCGAGCCTCTCAGTGGAGCGGTAGGAGCTAGTGAAGATTATCCCGTCGTTTGCACTCTAGCTAATTGGTTAATAAGCAAGGGATATGTTTAATGTAACTATAACACCGCGTACTTCCGCGACTGTACTGAGTTGTACCGCATGCGGCCGGAGCAGCTGCGGCGGCGCTCGGGCGGCACGGCCAGCGCCTCCTCCGCCAGCTCGCTGGAGGGGGAGTACCTCGCGGACCGTATGGAAAAGGTGCAGCTTCTACCAGTACCCCTACTGGGGTTGTTTTCAGCTTCTCTGTGCATTGTAGATTTAAGTATTACTGCACAGATTTGATTTAGAAATTTTGCCTAGATTTGCTTTTATATGAAGACTGGGATGTTGGGGGTTTAAGATCTTTTTAAGTTACTATTTGCGCAAATGTTTACTGTTTGAATTTAATAATCTCGATATTTGCAACAAAAAAGGTGCTAGTTTTAGATGAGTGAAAGCGATTTTATTAGCGATATATGAAAGTATAGATTATAAAATATAAAATTCAAATAAAAGAATAAATTTAATTACAAACTAGGTTCAACGCAATGTTGCATGTATTTATGACATGCCACCATTTGCATTTCAAATCGTAGAGTCCCTTAGAGCTTAAATCTTTCACTTTTGGCTGAGGCACGAGAAATAATGCACATATGATAGTGTAGGTAGATTTGATTAGTTTTGATTGCACTTTTGTAGTTTGTTCCTGAATACTTATTGACTGAAGTATTTATTAGTATTTTTGGATGTTGTAGAATTTTAACTAGTGTTAGTATAAAACTCGAATTGTTGCAAACAAAGAGTATAAATCAAATAATTATTATATTTGGTTTGATATCATAAACAACCTACTAAAATCTTAATTTACTTTCGAAATTGGTAAGAATATTCTTTTTCTACGAAGTGCTTGACTCTGAATTATTAGTTCGTTGCTGATAGAAGTTTTGTAACATTCCAGAAGCCGCCGCCAGGGGCAGTGAAAGTGATGCCCACAGCACCGCCAGACAAGAAGGAAGAGAAGAAGACAATTGAGAGGAAACCTGCTGAAAATGGTGAGTACTTGATATCATATGTAGGGTAGTTTAAGAAAATTACAACAGTACAATAACTATTACAAAAACTGGACATTCTACTACAGTAGAACCTCGATAAGTTAAACTTCAAGGGAAACACAAAATATTTTAAAGTTATACAGGTCTTAAGTTATCAAGGGTCTATGTTATAGAGGTTTTGGGCTCTGATGGGAAGGGAATATATTATTTTTTGAAGTTATAGAGGCTATTATGTTACCGAGGTTTGAGTTATCGAGGTTCTCCTGTAGAATGATTCTATTGATTACTTCATTTTAGCAATAGTCTGATATATTTTTGATATTCTTTTACTTTATACTTAATTGTTTGAAATTTCGTGAGACATTTTTATAACTAAGTAATAAATGGCAACACTTACGTCTATTAATAATTAGTTAATTGTTTTATAGGAACAGACACAACTAGTGATCCTGGTATCACAAACAACGTGGAAACTCCCAAGAGATCAAAGGTAAGTTGAAATTCCCCTCACATTTCAAAGTTCATGTTTAAAGTTTTGTCCGAAGCAACAAGCGGAATGGTAGATGGAAGTTGTTCACTCAGTACTTTTGTGTGATGTCTCAAACGGTAGTTTTTTTGTATCATACAATGTCTTTGTACATATAAATGTTAGATGAGCAATTAGAATAAGCATGCAATGGTAGTACTGCATTTTTGTACTTCCACACTTAAGTTTTCAAATTATGGATGCAAAGTTCAATTTTTATATTTTACTCTTAAGTTATACGATTATTTTATCATTTTTTTTCCTTTCAATCCTTTAACACTAGGCGGGTGGTTTTGGACTTTTCGGTAGCAGAAAAGACAAGTCGCCTAAAGAAGAGAAACCACCGAAAGATAAATCACCAAAATCGAAGGATAAATCGCCAAAAGAAAAAGATAAGAAATTGAAAGAACCTAAAGCTAAAGTCGCCGTACTCGATACATCCGCTGATAGCTCCAATCTGGATAGTTCAGTCGAAAAGAGTCCAGTAAAAGACAGCAAGCCGAGCTTTACAAAGCCTTACGAATATACCGACACTGAAAAGAGTCCAACTCGTACCAAACCTTTCATACAAGGTGCATTCAGTTACGAAAAAGAACCTATTTCTGACGAAAAGCAAAGAAGTCTCGATGAAAGTCAGAGCCCGACGACCAGAAAAGCAGGACTCGCTTTTAACTATGCGCCCGGCGAAGAAACGAATCTGGTGGAGAGTGCACAGAAACGAAAAACTCCAGAAGATCTCAATAAATTGAAAACACCTGGAATTGATTATGTACAGTCAGCAGCCTTGAAAGAACAAGCGAAGGGACCGAAACATCTCATCGATCCTACATTAGCATTATTAGACTCCGAGAGAGCTCATCATGAAACACCGGTCGCTGCAGCGATACCTATTGTCAAGAAAGAAAACGAAATACAAGTCGTTATTATTACAGCCCGATATAATCCTAAGAATAAGAAATTAGATGATGCCAACGGCACCGTACTCATAAATAAGGGTACATTAAATAAAGCTAACGGAAAGATACAAACAGACACTGAGCTTATCAACACAAAGTCCGGTCAAGTTAACTACACTGATTTTAAAACTGGCAAACAAGAAGTCAAAAATGGTCATGTGGATTCTAAATCGGGCCACATTTTATTCACTTCTGGAGTTATCGATCCTAAAACAGGAAAAATCGATCCCACTTTGGCGCAGCAATACTGCTTCGTTGAGAAGTCCAAAGATAATGTTGGGGCTAAACCTGGCAGAGAAGTCGATTTAGTTGTTATAACAAGTAAATACGACGGTAAGCATAAAAAACTTGATCCTTCACATGCGCACGTGGATGTGTCCAAAGCTGTCGTCGCACCCGATGGTACTGTACATTCTAACTATGGCCTAATCGATCCCAGAAGCGGTAAAATCGATTACGTTGACCCGAAAACTGGCAAACAAGATCCAAAACAAGCATACGTAGACCAAAAGACGGGCAATCTACTTGTAACGACTGGAGTTCATGATCCGAAGTCCGGGAAAGTAGACTCATCGCTCGGACAACAGTTTAGTATCGTCGAGAAAGACGCAACAAAGGCGAATAGAGAAGTAAGATTAGTTGTGATAACGAGCAAATATGATGTTAAATCTAAAAAATTAGACCCGACATTTGCTCATGTTGACTCAATTAAAGGTGTGTTGAGCGGATCTGACGGGAAAATTTATTCAGAATATGGTATTATAGACCCGAGAACTGGTGAAATTCAAGTAACCGATACTAAGACTGGTAAGCAGGAAATCAAACAAGCTTCAGTCGATCCTAAGACTGGTAACATTCTTCTTCTCTCTGGTGTCATCGACCCTCGAACAGGTCAATTAGACACTACTCTAGGACAACAATACAGTATTGTCGATAAGCCAATTTCCACCTTTGCTACTGTTCCTGGTAAGGACGTCCAAGTTGTAGCAATAACCAGCAAATATGACTCTAAGAACAAGAAATTAGACACACCCAACGGGTTCGTTGAAATATCTCAAGGTATTATCAGCGACAAAGATAGCAAAGTTCATTCGAATTTCGGTATTTTGGACCCCAACACAGGAAAGATTCATTTCACTGATCCCAAGACAGGAAAACGCGACTCAAAACAAGCTACAATAGATCCGAAAACAGGCAGTTTTGTCGTGACTTCCGGTGTAATCGATCCAAAGACGGGCAAAGTTGATTCTTCACTTGCACAACAGTTAAGTATTGTCGATAAAGATGCGAGGAAAGGAGTACCGGAGAGACGAATCAATTTAGTCGTTGTCACGGCCAAGTACGACCCTAAGCAGAAGAAGTTAGACCTTGCCACTTCACATGTCGATACATACCCTGGTACTGTGGATAATGATGACAAAGTACATACCGAATTCGGAGTAATTGAACCTAGCACAGGACAAATTACCGTTACTGATCCTGTAACGGGCAAACCTGAAATAAAGAAGGCAGCCGTCGATTCAAAGACGGGTAACTTATTGCTTACGTCGGGAGTCGTTGACCCCAAAACTGGAAAAGTAGATAACACTCTAGGACAGCAGTTTAGCATCGTCAATACACCTAAGGACACATTCGCTGTTGTTCCTGGTAAGGAAGCACAATTAGTAATCATAACTAGTAAATATGATGCTAAGAATAAAAGATTAGACAACCCTAACGGGCATGTTGATACTTCAAGAGCTATTATCGCTTCAGACGGCAAAGTTCATTCTAATTACGGAATTCTAGACCCAAAAACGGGCAAAGTTGAACATTTTGATACGGTATCGGGAAGACAAGAGATTAAACAAACCGCTGCTGATCCAAAAACTGGTTATTTCATTCTTGCGACTGGCGTCGCAGACCCTAAGACTGGCAAGACAGATTCTTCCCTTGCTCAACAGTGGTCAGTAGTAGATAAAGATGCATTAAGAGAAAAACATGTGAATTTAGTTATAGTCACATCGAAATACGACCCCAACAATAAGAAATTAGATCTCACGGATGCTCATGTTGACTCAGTTCCTGCCGTTCTTAAAGACGATGGCAAAGTTTACTCAGAATTTGGCACGATAGATCCCAGCACAGGACAAATTACGACTGTTGATCCGATAACTCGTAAACAGGAAATAAAAACAGCCTCTGTTGATGATAAAACAGGAAATCTTTTATTGACATCGGGCGTTGTTGACCCCCACACAGGAAAAGTCAACGCAGGTTTGGCACAACAGTTGTCTATTATCAGCAAAGATGGCGATAAGATTCCTACAGTACCTGGCCGAGAAGTGCAACTTGTTGTCATCACAAATAAATATGAGCCTAAAACTAAACGATTGGAAAATCCTAACGGTCAAATACAAACTTTACCTGCTGTTATCACAAATGATGGCAAAGTACATGCAAATAATGTTACATTGGATCCCAAAACGGGTAAAATCGAACAATTAGACCCTAAGACTGGGAAACCTGATGTATCACAAGCTGTTGTTGACAATAAAACGGGTCATTTTATCCTTTGTTCTGGAGTTGTAGACCCCAAAACCGGAAAATCTGATTCTTCTCTGGGACAACAATGGTGTGTAGTAGACAAGGACGCGTCAAAACGTGCACCTGGAAGATATGTCAATTTAGTTATAATTACATCGAAATATGATCTTAAGAATAAAAAACTGGATCTTTCCAACCCACATGTCGACACGATTTCGGGTACAGTCGGTGCCGACGACAAGGTTTATACGGATATCGGTGTTATTGATCCTGCTACAGGGCAAGTGACATTAATTGATCCCATTACTAAGAAACAAGACATTAAGAAGGCAACTGTTGATCCCAAAACTGGAAACTTATTGCTAACATCAGGCGTTGTGGACCCACATACAGGACATGTAGACCCGAATCTAGGTCAACAACTAAGTGTTGTTGAAAAACCAAAAGATACGTTTGCGCCTGTTCCAGGAAGGGAAGTACAGCTAGTTGTGATAACTAGCAAATATGATTCGAAAAATAAAAGGTTAGATAATTCTAATGGTCATGTTGAATCTTTAAGGGGAGTTATAGCCGCAGATGGTCTCATTCATTCTAACCAAGGAGTACTTGATCCTAAGTCTGGCAAAATCGAACATGTCGATCCGAAAACGGGTAAGACTGAAGTAAAACAAGCAGTTGTCGATCCTAAAACTGGTCATTTGATTCTAGCCTCTGGAGTTACAGATCCAAAAACAGGAAAACCAGATTCAACTCTTGGGCAGCAACTTAGTGTTGTTGACAAAGATGTCAAGCCTCTACAACGAGAAATACATCTAGTAATAATTACCACTAGATATGACCCAAGAACTAAGAAAATCGATCCGAATCAAGGATACGTCGATACTGTTAGTGCAACACTTACTCCTGATGGTAAAATTACTTCCGAACTTGGAACGCTTGATACCGCTACTGGTGAAATAACATTAGTAGACCCTGTAACAGGTAAACGAGACGTTAAGAAAGCTAACGTAGATCCGTCGACTGGATATCTGCTAGTAACAAGTCAAGTAGTCGATCCGAGAACTGGAAAAGTTGATCCAACATTAGTGCAGCAATATAGCGTGGTTAGCAAAAAAGTCGTGCCACACACTAAACCAGTCTCTAAAGGAGAAATTCGACTTGTCATAATTACTGGAAAATATGACCCAAGAACGAAATCTGTGGACGCTGGTGCGGGCACAGTTGAAGCTTCTAAAGGCTATGTTAGTGCTGAAGATGGAAAAATACACACTGATTTTGGGATCATTGATCCAAGATCGGGACAAATATTCTACAAAGATCCTATCACGGGAAAACAGGAATTGAAACAGGCTGAAATTGATCCACAGACTGGAAACTTTGTAGTGACAACATCAGTGGTAGATCCCGCCACTGGTAAACTAGAACCTTCTTACGCTCAACAACTTGCAATTGTTGATAAGCAGAATGTACTGTCTAAAGCGGCATCCCCGACGCAAAGAGTTAGCGTCTCGTCGGCTAAGCAAGCGGTATCACCTATAAAGATCCCCACTCAGACTCCTATCCAGACACCGTTAAAATCGCCAGTAAGGACTACTTCACCTGTCATTAGTAGTCAAACCCAAAAGGCTTCGCCCGTAACATCTGTGACACCAGTTCATAAAACAGCACCGGTTAAACCTACAGGCGCACCACCAGCTCCTCCCAAGAGAAAGATTGTAAAGATTATGGTTATATTTGCTAGAGTAGATCCTAAAACCAAGAAACCGGACCTGGGTACTGCAGAAGTTGAGCACATAACCGGTATCTTAGATCCCAATGGCCAGATCGAAACCAAGTATGGGGTTCTCGATTCAAATACCGGTAATTTATTTGTGAGCGATCCTAGCGGCCAGCGGAAAACAAAAGACGGTGTTGTGTTCCCCGAAACTGGACAAATTTTCATCCCATCTGGTGCAGTCGATCCAAAGACTGGAAAAGCTGACCCAACTTTAGGAATGATATTAAGCGTCGCCAAACAAGATGATCCTGTTGTAGAAATAACTACAATAACAGGCCCAATAGATCCCAGGACTGGAAAAGTTGATATTGAAAATGGATCAGTGGAGCATACTAAAGGAAAGGTGGACGCAGAAACAGGTCATATTTCGACCAAATATGGTGTTATAGATCCTTCAAACGGTGTCATCTTTGTAACAGACACGTCAGGCGCTCAAGATACTAAACCAGTAGATATTGACGAAAATAACGGACAGATTACGATTACCGGTGTCGCCGACCCTAAAACTGGAAGACTCGATCCTAAACTTGGTCAAATATTGGTCGTTGGAACACACATAGATCCCGTAGTCGAGGTTACCACATTTGTTGGTAAAGTCGATTCAAAGAAAGGAATAATAGAACCAAAACATTCCGTTATCGAAAGCACGACAGGTCAGTTCAATCCGGACAATAACAAAATCGATACGAAGTACGGCCAGATCGATCTATTGAAAGGTACCGTGACATACAATGATCCTAAGACTGGTAAATTCGAAAGCAAGGAATTAAACGTAGACCCCGTCACCGGACAGTTCCTTCTCAGAAGCGGACAGATCAATCCCAAATCTGGTAAACCCGACAAAGACATCGGTCGTTTGATTTGTTTGCGAATAATTCGTAATAAAGTCGACCCCGTTTCCGGCAAGCAAATCGTATCAAACGATCCTAGGAACGTCAAAGTCGATCCCAAAACTAACCAGATTTGGATCGCAGGACCAAAAGATCCACAGACCGGTGAGGTTTTGTATACGGCCGGACAAATTGACCCTGTCACCGGCTACATCATAACTATTTATGGCCGCCTCGACCCGAAGACAGGAACAATTATTAAAACCACCGAAATTGACAAAACCCTCATCAAGGTCGACCCGGTGAACGGACAAATTTACACGGCCACCGGAGAAGTCGACGAAGATAACCAACCTCTCTACTCCGCATCACAAGTTGACCCCGGTACTGGGGAAATCTATACCAAGCTGGGTAAAATCGATCAGAGAACCGGCAGGCTAATCATTGTCAAGATTTACGTTATCACACAGAAAGACGAGAAGGGTCGCGTCAAGGAAGTCGACCCGCGTGAGTGCACAATAGACGAAACCACCGGTAGAATAATAACAACAAAAACCGTCTATCTTTACCAAATTATCGACCCAATAACAGGAGAGACCATCGACGTGGACCCTGACGATCCAAGACTCAAAGGTGCTCGTACCACCGTGACGCAAACGATGACTTTATCGGGCAAAATCGACCCGATAACTGGCAGAATAAAGACCGAGTACGGCGACATCGACCCCGACACGGGCGACATCGACCCTAGCACTGCGGTGCGCGACCCCGTCACCGGGCAACTGATCCTGCACTACTCGCAAATCGACCCCTCGCACTTCGAGGATAAGAGCGGCAATTACACAATCGAGAAGGAAACACAGGACCTGCCCGCCAACATCGACATACAGACCGTTAACACGCACAAGTTCAGCACGTTCGGAAAGGACGAAAGCCCCGCGCGCGGCGACGAGCCCAAGACCTTCACCGAGTACTCCACCAGCGAGCACATCCGGCACCAAGGCTTCGTATCGGCTAGCACCCCCCTCTCCTCTAAGATCCCGGTTTCGCAGCGGTCGAAGAAGACTCCCACGCCTCCCGTCGTGGTCAAGACGACCACCAAGCAGTTGCTGACAAAGAACGAGGAGGGCGTCACCCACAACGTCGAGCAGGAAGTGGAGAACCTCGGCACGGGCGAGGTGACATTCTCCACTCACACAAACAAGGTACACCCCTAGATACACTCCGGTAACACACTATTTAATACCTTTTTTAAATGTTGTTTTAATTTTTTTTACGTTCATTCATTGAGTGGCCTAATTTATTTTTATTTCATTGTCAATGCTAACGTAGTTTTTTGTCGTTCGCTAGTCACTTGTGTATATAGTAAATGCATGCTAGTTTAACCCTTAAATGTAGGCGGAAAGCCTAGAGCCCGAGGGAAAGAGCCCTTATGTGACCGCGCGGGCGGTGACGACGCGCACCGCGACTACGCACCACGACCTCGATACGAAGGCGAAAACGCAGCAGATGGAAGAGAAGACTGTCGCACACACGCTCACCTCATCCGCCACCAGACACGAGCAACGCGTGCTCACGCAGCAAGTCAAGACCATGGTGACCACCGGCGACCAGGTAACACCGACCATCCGACACGCACCCTCGTACCCCCTTGCGCTTGCATCGCGCCAGGTCTCATCTTAGCATGGCCGTTGCACTGATAGTGCTTCCGCGGCATGGGACAAGCACGAACCCATTCATAATCACTGGGTTTAAAATTTAACCTTTATGCTTAATTTTCCAACCATTTGAAACCTCTTACTATCTGTGGCATATCATGTAACCCGTTTGATTGTGCATAACATGTGTGTGCCCGCTCGTAGCTGGGTAGGCGCGGGTCGGGCAGCTCGCTGAGCAGCGGTGACTCGGGCACTCCCATCGACTTCGAGGAGGGCGGGGAGGGCACCTACTACGTCACCGTAAGTACACAGACTATAGGGTTTATCTCTGTTATTTGACAGGCTGTTAAAAAGCCGGTAGTATTTAAAATTAAAGGCTTTGAAGTCTAGAAATATCCATTAAAATATGTGTACAGATATTAAAAACATTAAAATTAAATTGAACACTTTTTTAATCATTAAAATGGAAAACATTTATCTAATACCAAACAGAGATGAATCTTTACCTTTTTTCATATTATTAATTAAACATGGTATCTCATTTTAACTATAAATACTAAAACAACAGGTCGTATGATATATTCATATCATATGCAACATAATGAAAAAGTGAGTGAACAATTATTATTTGAATGACACGTTCTAGTGATGTGTTAGTGGCATGTTTTAGAATGGAATGTTACACTTCAGTATTAGTTGGAAATTAAAATTATAATTTTAATGAATGACGAATATTATAATGGTTGAACAACTTTTTAATGAAAATTTTGAAATTTTCCGATTAATACTGAAGTTAGTTTGTCTTAAAAGTGTCAATAAGTTATTTTTGTCAATGACGCTCTTAAGTTATGCATCACACTTGCATGGAATGTTAGAGTTCTGTGAAGAATGTCTTTGTATGATTTTAATTTATCTATTTATTTGTTAAATTATAAGTAAGTATATCAAATTATTATTTATTTATTAATAATACACACTTGTAATATTTACTGTACTTGTGTGAAAGGTTTCACGAGAAAAGGAAGTGAAGATTGGGATTTTCTTATGAAAATGAAAATTAGATTTGATTTTGTTGGATTATATTATTATTTAAATGCGTGACTTGAAAGACTCTTCCTATTTAAATCAATTAAAATTATCTAATTAACTGTAAAATTTTAAATATCTATTCAAATGTTCTTTATAAATGTAAATAGAAGTTGCTAAGTGAAATTAACCATTAAGAAATAAAATTTTATGTTAGGAGCCCGGGTCATACACGACGACGACCAGCAGCACGGTGATGGGCAACGCGCCCTTCGGCAGCATGGTGCACGGCGCCGCCGCCACGGTGAGTACATACTAATACATACACACATACAAATAACTGACATTTCTGATATATAGGCTTTGAGCCTACCCCAAGTTAATGACATAGTCGACGCACTACGGATTTCCTTCACATATCTTTGAATTTGCAGATATCTGCACGATGTTTTCCTTATATCTTGACAACAGAAAGAAATCATATTTTAATACTAATATTATAAAATGCGAAAGTTTAGATGGATGTTTGTTAGAGTTTGTAGCCAAAACGGCTTAACGGATTTCGATGAAATTTGGTATAACTGTAGAGGATAGTCTGAAACATATAGGCAACTCACTTTTGTTTTTTTAATTCCATGTAGACGAAGTCGCGGGCGAAAACTAGTAAAGGATTATTGCAAATTCCATTTCACACTTTATTGATGTTTTTTCACCTTAAATAATGTAAAGATGTATTTTGTAATATCGTGATTTAAATAGATAACAACGCCATCTGTCGCAATTTGAATATAAATGTGTATTTTCAGACGAGCACGGGCCCGCAGATAACGGAGGAGGTGGAGGCGGGCCAGGGCGAGGGGGAGGTGGTCTCCTCGCAGACCATCAGCTCCAAGACACGCACCGTCGAGACCATCACTGTGAGTCACACACTACTAGTACTACTACCACTACTACTAGGTGCCCTAGACTTAGACCCGTGGAAACTTAAACTCTGAAACTCTCCGACCTTTACAAATAATTATTGTATAAATTATCGGGAGAAAAGATTTTAGGCAGTGTCTAAATATGCTAACAGGCCTAAATGATACAATAACGTCATACACTCCGATTAGCTCTATCGACGCCCTGGGCGAGATTTTTACAACGCCCTTTTTATATAACTAAGAACTACTAAAGACAGATGTAAGACTAATAAGCAGAGCTGCCACAGTCGCCCTGGGCGGTTACGCCCTACTAACGCCCCTATTGCATGAAGGCCCTTGAAGCTGTTATTATATTAATGTAACTTTGCAGTACAAAACGGAGCGCAACGGCGTTGTGGAGACTCGCGTGGAACAGAAGATCACCATACAGTCGGATGGCGACCCCATAGACCACGACCGCGCGCTCGCTGAGGCCATACAGGTACATACATACATACATACATACATATCTTACTTCTATACTTCTATACATATTTTTGAATAATTCATTCTTAAATAAAAAGCCCTACACTTACGTCATGCTTTAGGATATATATTTTCACGCCGTTAAACTTAGGTGGTAAACATTTTGGATAAAAACCCTAATGTGAGACCATAAGTTGTTGCCAACATCAAGGAAGCGAGGTTGCCATGGTTTGTCATGATGTCATTTTGACAATTTGACAAATGTGAACAATAAAATGATTTTTTTTTATAATTTCATGCGCATGAAGTCGCATGGGAATAACTAGCACATATATTAAAAAATAAAACAAATTCTTTCATTAATAGAAAACCGTAAACTCATGATATATTTTTTTCACGCTATTTAATTTATAAAGTGAGTAAACTGAAAAAAATACTAGAAAGGGACAAAAACTATAAACCAATAGAAGTTATGTAACAATATTACAATGGTAGTGGTAAAGCCAATGACAGGCAATGTTCTTTTTAGGCATTTGAATTTTGGCATTTTCAATTGAAAATTTTAAGGAATGTTAACAATAAAAGACACAAGTGACCAGTTATTTATTCTGTGCTATAACAGGAGGCGACGGCGATGAACCCCGACATGACGGTGGAGAAGATAGAAATCCAACAGCAGAGCACGCAGCAGTAACTCCCCTACAGCCGCCATCTTGAATCGTGACGTCACGTCCGCAACATGGCCGCGACATAGCGGCGACATGGCGGACACCACTTTATAATAAATACTTTTAAATTGTTATCGACCAATAACGCGTACCTTATATATTTAGTAATACATAAATCTCTGTGTATAAATGTTAGATTCGCGCCATTTTTAACACAAAACAAGATGGCGGACAGGATGGCGGCGTTCATACAATTAGTTATAAGCGATACTGCGAATATTATTTAATGAAAACGTTATATGATTAATTAATTATCGAGTTAATTGATTTATATAGATGTTCACGTCGGTGACGCCATTTTTATTTTAGGTTAAGATCCGCTTCGAAAGGGAATGTTGCCATAGCGATTAACGTGTTCGTGTCCGTTATAGCTTTAAAACATCTCGCACGAGACCACCGGTATTTATAAAAAAAAAACAATTTTCTCCTCACATCAATTCAATACTGGAACTCCGATTTTACCCTTGACAATGAAAGTCGCGAGTTTTAATGTTAAGAAAGTATATTTATAATAAACGTTGCTATTAATGTATTTATAATATATTTCAAATAGATGTATAATCTATAGGGGCATAAATATGGGGCGAATTCCGGGGCATAAATATGAGGCAAATTCCGGGGCATTTGGAGTAAATTCCCTCAGTTACAAAATTAAGTTTTAAATATCGATTAGATGTTAAAACAATCTATGGATCTATAGATTATATATCTATGTCACCATTAGGTGCTATATTTTAAGCGTCTTGTGGGCAAATGTGGCTTCAGCTCCGGGTCGTTTTCAAACTGACCTATTTATGAATTTCCATACGACTCGGTATATTTGTATGTTACAGCTTGATCGGTGTATAGGGTAAACTGAAGTTTTACTGCACAATTTATATTTAACTTTTGCGGATTTGTAATTTATTAACTTTCAAACGGGACATTCCAACGCGAGCGAGATGCCGCTATATTTCTCTCTAATTCTTTCAATTTAGATTTATATGTGATGTTCTGATTTGTGGGCTTTTTTATTCTAGTTTTTTATTTTTTAAAAATCTGTTAATGACATTTACTGCATTTGTTTCGTGTTTTTTTTTCTTATAAGCTCTATGCTTAGAAAATTAAATGTTTTATTTCTTTCTGTAGATTATTTCAAAAAATTACAAAGTACCAATAGTATTCTTTATTTTTTGTACATTTGTACGTGTACGGGGTAGACAGAAGCCCACAAATCGTCTATCAACAAGGACATATTTGTTATTTAAACGCTAGATGTTTTTGTAATATGTCAATTTTGTGAGCTGATTCTAAATCAGTATTCGATTTTAATGTTTTTTCTTTATATGTATATTTTTTTATAATTTTCACATTTTATTATTAATAGTTTGCATGATGATAATTTTGTCTGTTTGTACGTTCATTTGTGACAATATTTTACTACGATCTTTGTGGAAATAAAGGTTTTAAGCATGAATAAGTGAAATGCTCTATGGTTATAATTTTTTTTCCTTTGATCGTTAAATTCCGTCTTGTTTTATGTATTTATTGAAGATGTTTATTTTTGTAAGAGTCCCCCACATTTGTATTGTTTATTTTAACGAGATGACGTCATCAAGCAACGGATATTACAATAAATGATGCTTTGTTTTATTACCTATCGTTTTATTTTATTATTTTTGAACTAGTAAATCTTTAAAAGTTTATACAATAAACTAGCTCAAGTTAGGTCCTGTTCCAACACTGGCTGATAGAGGCTCAGATAGCTTAAAAATGACGTCACTGTCAGAGGTAACAAAATCCGATATTTCCATCACATTTTACACGTTGTATTTACAATTTGGTGAGACATGCTCTTAGTGTTGTTATTTCGAAACAAAAAAGGTCGAATCGTTATCGACAAATTAGTTTAAAAAAAATCCTTTAGAGTATTTATTGAAAAAAAAACGATTCTTTTGTCATGGAATAATTTAATTCAGATTTGTACAAAACACATATAACCACAAAACAATTTAGTTATCCTCCGAACACAGAACCCGTAAAGGACTTAAATAGTTTCGAGGGATTCTGGTCTTCTAAAACACCAGCTACCGAATGCAGCAACTTTGATGGATGGTCTTTTACTGAATCAGCGACAGACTCTAGTATTTTCGTCGGATCCTGGTCTAAAGAACCCGCTACAGACTTCAGTAGTTTCGTCGGATCCTGATCTAACGAACCCGCGATAGACTCCAGTAGCTTTTTAGGGTCCTGATCTAATGAGCTTGCGACGGACTCCAGTAGTTTCTTCGGATCCTGGTCTTTTAGTATACTGGCGGTTGAATGCACATTATCTTGGTCTTCGTCCTTCAGTATGGAGCCAGCGACTGCCTGGATAAGGTTGGGAGGGTCCCTGTACTTTAGGCCTTCGTCCCCGCGCCCGTACGGGAACAGGAAGCCTGTCTGCAGGAAGAACTTTCCCCTGGTGTTCGGCTTTGAGTCTATACCCATGTTACTGTAAAACAAACGTCGACTTTAAGGGGGATAGGGACTCATAGGGAAACCCCTCCGCCCCTTGCTTTGGTTGGTTGCTGCCTCCATCCCGCCTCTATCTCCTCCCAAATTTATTCAAAATACTGAAGTAATTACAATGTGTAGACCCACATTAATATCTTCAAACAATTATTAAAATTTCATAAAGATGTTTAACATAGTATGGTATGAGGTGGGGGGGGGGAGGGGGCAAAAGCAATTGTAATAGTAAAATTAAATTACTTTGGTTAGAAATAAAAGTAAGTTGTCTAAGAACAATGACATTTTGTAAGAGAAAACTCCTGATATTGGATAGAATGGGGCATATTTCGGGTGTTCGGACAATTAGAAAATAAATACTGGAACTGAATTTCTTTAAAATTTGCTAGATCAACAGTCACCTGTGTCACCTAAATTGTATTCTGATCAACGGTTTTTGTGATGTTTGATTTTATCTACAGTCTATTGATTCCTAACCTGATCTCGTCATCACACTGGTCTCTCTTAAAGTGTTCCCAGCTGGCACACCTCCTCGCGGAGAAGGCGGCCACTTCCAGCAGAGACTCCGCGAAGTACAGCCAAGAGCGGGAGTGGCTGCACGTCTGCAGCAAACAGCCGGGCTGCGAGTGCCCGCCGTTGGGGAAATAGTCCGCGTGGCCTAAAAAACCACTACTCTAGTATGGGATACGCAACAATGTATTTTAAATATCTTGACGACATGAATAACGTTGGCTACCTTTGACGCACGTCATTGACTAAACTATCGCACAACTGTTTACTCTCGCTTTAATTCGCATGAGATCATATGGAGGTGCGCACACTACTCGATTTTTAATTGTGCAACTAAACAGTTGAATTGACTGCGAAACAATCGACAATCGCAAAACTGTTGTGCGATAGTTTATTCAAAATGCAGCTCTTAGTCGACAGAATACTGACGAACAGAAAGAGGATATTAACATTTATTTGCGTCCACTACAGCCCAATTCACTTTCTGTTTTCATTCTTTCCATAAAAATGGGAGGGATGGAAAAGAAGACTAAAAATTATTCTTCGCCAAGCACAGACATCATTACAAAGAATTAATTCCGCATTACATCTATCATCTTAGTGGTCGTGGTGTTGATTACGTCAGACCACTGTTACCATTTAAAACCTTACCAACAGGTTCCTTCATTCCATAAACCCCACTATCTGAATGTATGCAGTCGACATAATCCGCGTCCGTATCTTTGACCCTAAGGTCCTTCTCGACGTTTGTGAAGCAAGGTCCGGCGGGGTCGAGGGCGGTGAGGCGGCCGGGCTTTCGTCCCGTTAGCTTGAAAAGGGTTTTTCCAGCAAACCCGCTGATATGCGAGCCCAGGCTGTGCCCTATTAAGTGTATTGAAGCAGGGTCTGTGCCACCTGTAAGCATACTATGTATGAGTATAAAGACACGTATTAGAAAACACGTAAAAAAAGAAATTGGAGCTTCTAACCACAAAAAAAGGTTATCAAGTGTGCATTTCGTAAGCTAATAATTAAAAGCCACATGTTTGTTCTAATTTGAAACACGAAGTCAAAGTAGTGGAAGATTTTTAACGTCAATATTTCCGTACAAATGATTACAAATACCGGAATCCAATTACGACCTCAAACTTCCTCGTAAAGATCTTAGATTTGTTCTCATTACCTTATTATTTATGGCGTATTACAAGTTGTAAATTCTAATTGATTTATGTTTACAATTTATTAATAAGTAATAGGTAACTCAGACTGTTATCTTTTATACGGAACCTCACATATTGCATACTGGATACAATCTTAATTTTAACTTTTGACCCATTGTACTTTGTCCACCATATTCGAGCACAATTATTATGTTTTCTGCGTAAGGTCAGTTGTCATATACCTCATTATTTGTGATAAGGTAGCCAGAGCAAAAACGGCCATCAGTTTATAAAACATCAACTATTTTGACGTCAATGCGCTGACCGCTATATAATTGCTCTTGAGACCCTTGTTAACATTGTCATTGACAAGGTCAAGATCGTTGCCGTCTTGCTTTACAATAAACATCTGATTTTAAAATACTTTTGTTATGTTAGAACAAACCTGGAGTTTTCTGGTGTAGAGGATGAGGGGTGTATTACCATCGCTGACTTACCGTTGACCATTGCCGCGAGAACTTCACCCAGCTTGCGGCCCATAAAGCGCACGTATGTGGTAGCACGCAAGTACAGCCAGCGGATCAAAGGACTGCCATCTAATGCTATCACACTCGTCTCACCTAGCACAAACATATTATTAGTGTAACTAACTAAAAGATCGTACAACTGTTTAGTCGTGCTTTGATTCGGGTTTATAAGGAGATGTACACACTAGTTGATTTGCGATAATCTAATCAAAGGTGTGTGCCTCAAAAATTTTTGTCTACACACTTTATCTGAACAGATAAAACTCTGCGTGTGTAGAGGGCTTATTCAATTAACTTCCTTATAAATAAACGTTTGTATTAATTTCAAGAACATCCTTATATTACTAAGTTATTCTATTATGGTCATTGATGTTCACGCAATGTCTACCGGTTGCCTATTACATTGTTTGCATAAGGCCTCGCTTTACATTTCTATTTATAAGACAACAATAAGTATTTTAATAATGCTAACAAAACTTGCACACATAATAAGTACAAGATAATAAGATTGAATGGATGGCAAAAATGGAAAAGAAAGTATGTATGGTCTGTACGAAATAGGACAAGCTTGAGGGAGTGGATCTATACTATTATAATAAAGCGTAAACATACACTGCTTTGTTGCCTAAGATGTCAGCAATTACAGCATATTTTTGAATAATTCATTTTTTAATAAAAAGCCCTACACTTGCGTCACGCTTCAGGCTATATATTTTAACGCCATTAAGCTTAGTGGGTAAATATTTTGGACAAAAACCCTAATGTGGGAAAGAGACCATAAGTTGCTGCCAACATCAAGGAAGCAAGGTTGTCATCATGTCATGTTATTTTGACATTTGTAATTCATAATTTGACAAATGTAAACAATAAAGTAAAATTTTCATAATTTCATGCGGATGAAGTCGCACGGGAACAGCTAGTTCAGATATAAAAACTAGTAGAGATGTATGGAAGAGTGAATACTGCCCGTCCGTAGTGACAAGAGCAGATTGAGAAGTACAAGATTGTCCATTATTTAGCCATGTTGACTTATTTACATTTGCATTTTTATTTAATTCGATAGAATCTACATTACCGGATGTGATGTGGGAATTCCTATCGATGATAATAACTCTGTTAACATTCTCAAGTCGTACAAGATGACTGAATCATTCGCGTCACTAAAAAAGTGAATTATAACAAACAAGCATACGGAACTTGTACGTGTTTAAATTATTTTGCTATATAAAAAAATCTTTCGAATGTACCATTATGTTTTAGAGGCCAGGATTTTTTAATCGAAATGCAAGGCATAAGAAGTTCTATAAATGCTTCTCTATGATTATAACGTAATTATCAGCAATATAACATCGGTATTTAAAAATATGTAGTTTTTTCTTCAATGGGGATGTTTCCTAATTTTTGGAGTTGCTTTTATTATGTAGATAAACCGTATCTGAATATGAAAAAAAATATAATAAAATCATATACGCAACATTTCATTACAAAAACACTTAACTAAAAACAACTTCTCCAAAGACCGCGAAAACGCCTCATGACGTCACTTTCTTGCTTACAAACCTCGCGTCGCGGTCTGTCAAATTTGAATATTAGCTACTCAAATAACTTTTACTATTTTTTTCGTCATATTGATCGAAAATTTGCTCGTAAAATATGTCGTAAATATAAAAACACTTAATAATGGAATCCTCATAATATAACACACGAAAATTCAATTCTTATAATCATTTAAAAATATATATAACTACAAAATGCACTGACATTTACTGAGGTTGGTCACACTGCCATGTTATATGCGAGAAAGTGACGTCATTGGTGTTTGAGATCGAGTAATGGAGGGTAAAAAATATTGCAACGTTTTTAATTTATATTTAATTTGAGACAAACATTTAAGGTCTCTAAATGTTATTATAGGTTATAAAATGCTGTCTTTAAAATATTAAACATAACTTTATTTGGATTTGTAACATTAGGAAACATCCCCATTATAGTCTATTTTTGTCTTAGATCTCAGCTATGTGGTGACCAGGCCATAGTCAACGCTGCATTGCGGGTTGACTTCATACATTTTTCATTTCTTTACAGTTATGTGCGACATCATGATGTTTTCCTCCAAAGGAACATAGGGTAAGTTATACACATATAAAATTCCAACACCGGACCTTTAGATTACAAGTCATATACTTAGCCTTTCAATGCTTAATCTTTGACTAAACAATCGCACAACTGTTCTGCGATTGTCGGTGCTGTCGCTGTCCATTCAACTGCTTATTTGCACAACTAAAAATCGAGTAATGTGCGTACCACCATAAGCTTATAGAAATCACAGCGAGACTAAAAAGTTGTGCGATAGTTTACTCTAAGTATACCACAAGAACTGTTTAAGAACTCACCACTTCTAAGGAATGCTTCGCTGATATTCTTAAAGCTATCTTTTGTGGGATCATCAATGAAGCCGTGCACGAAGATGATGAGTTTTCTCTGAGGGTCGAAGGCGCGCGCGCGGGTGATGGCCTCCGCGGCCACGCTAATATTGTACACTCTACTGCTGATCCTGAGGATGAAAGGATGGTGTAACACTATTCGAATTATTACTAATAAACTAGTGATTCTAAATGCAGTCTAAACAGAGCCTGTTGTCTACGTAAGAGTCGATGGAAGTGAAATAACTATAGAGAATTAAAGTTATGGATTTACAGATCTTAGAACAATTTAGACGTATCTGTTCATCGAAAATATAAAATTTTGAAAGTAGTCTACCATAAAAATACATTTACCAATCTTTTTTATAGATAGAAAGCAGAGTATAGCTAAAGGTGCTATCTCTAACTAGAAGAAATTACGTACAAGTCTATGATTTTTTGATTTCTGCTTAACTAACCTGGTTTTGAAGAATAAGGAGAGTGAATTGAGATCCGGTTCCTTGACGCCTTCCAGCTGCTCGTAAGCCACGCCTAGGAGTTTCTTCACATGAGGACCTGTGCACACAAGATGTAATTTAAAAGAACACAGAAAAGACGATTTATCTCGACACATTCTTCTTAAAGTGCCACCTTTCTAGGTTCATTTAACTCTAACTTGCACTATTAAAAACGCGCTCTAAAGAACGGGTGGTTTCCGAACCACTGGTGTAGTTTTTTGATCCAGAATCTTTACATTAGCCGCCAGTATCTCACCTGATAGCCTAACAAATTATATCGCGGTAACAGAATAGGTAGAAAAACGTTAAAAAAAACAAACGACATCCGTTTCAACTTACATCCAGCTGAGCCGATATAAGCAATAGATTCGTCTATAGGTTGCTTTAAAGGTCTGATCTGTTGCTGTATGCCCTCGCCCAGGTTTTCGATGAGGTTGCCCTGCTGCTGACCTGATGCCTTCAGCAGCGACATGTACCCCACGAACATTGTCACCAAATAGTTCATGTTGAATAGATTCTAAAAGCAGAATGATTGAACTAACGTATTGAAAATCCAATCAATTTTTTATTAAAGTGTAGTATTGTCGTACTAAATATAAATAAGGAATTACAAAGGAACTGTTTAAAAGAGCGGGAGCACACTTTTGACTAAACTATCGCATAACTGTTCAGTCTCGCTTTGATTCCTAAGAGCTTATATGGTGGTAACACTACTCGATTTTTAGTTGTGCAACTAAACAGTTGAATTGGCTAAACAATCGACAATCGCACAACAGTTATGCGATTGTTTAATCAACGGTATGCGCCCGCTTTTTTATTTTGAGAAATTTACAATATTGTTTAAGAAATCTGAATGTTGTAGTAAGTCCTCTACTCAAAGTTATGAATAGATTCCAGTTTGGACTTAGTTATACATGTTTCTATTAATAAATAAAATATGTACTAACCACGAAATTATTTAATCCAGTAACAACCTGTGAAAAATAAGTATAGATAAATTACGAAAGGCTACAAATTAGAAAAACAAATGTGCGAAGTGCAAGCAAACAAAAAACAGTGCATTCCATACAGTGTGTTTTCACAGCCGTTGTTTTAAAACCACTGCGTGATCTACAGTGAAAACCCACGGTTGTATTTGTGATAGTTGAAAATGTAAATAAACTATTGGACACACAAAATCAGTACTTAAAACCAATAAACCCAAACGCTTCTCGTGTTAAAGCGGTATACAACTCACTCCGCTGAAAACACTGTTGAAAGTCAAATCATAAACATCTTCCGCGAGAACCTCCATATTTTACTGCAAATAAGGATTAAAATTAATTTATTTTAATCCTAAATATTACTTTTTTTATAACATAGGGTGGCAAACGAGCAAGCGGCCACCTGAGTCCGCCAAAATGGTGAAGCGACCGCTGCCCATTGGCATCCACAATTGCAGATGCATTGTCTATCCTTAGGCGACGGAGGAGGACACTTCTCCTTCCTATGCATCTCCTCCACCGTCAAATCCTTTCCCTTCCCATCCTCTCCTAATAAGAAAAGGGTGGTAAAAGACTTAAATTAGGCCTCTGGCAACACACTCATCAGACGAAACACGGAATTGCTTCCATTTCACGCCTGTCTTCTGTGGGTTCGTGATATTACACCGGGCGTGCCGGCCCTGCAGTGCTAAGATGGTAAAACGGGTACTAATACTGTTTACCATGCTTTGACGTGGGGGAAAATGTTTAAAAAGGCTTGTGAGAGCCCCTTTTGGTATGCTCATTTTTTAAAAATTATTTTAGTAATAAAATGCCTCACTGTAACGTCATGCTTATAAAATATATATTTTCACGCTATTACACTTAGGGGGTAAGTAAATTGGAAATAGAGAAAGGGGTATAAACTATAAGCTAATAGCAGGTTGCCATGGTTACTAAAGTTTTCAGCCAATGGGCACTTGTTTCTTAAAATATGTAACTAATTAAGATGAGTATTAGAATAGGTTTGAGGTTAAGCACAGGAAGTAGCAATAAACCTAGTTCCTTTTACATTAAACACATAAAACTTCAAATAAACATTAGTACAGGAAACACAATTTCACTCTTATCGATGTTTCGGTTTTCGTTTTATCAATTTTCAGTATTGAACTAGAAAGGAAATCCAATTATCACAAGGCCTTACATACATAGTTTTTTTGTATAAAATTTTAACACGAACAATACAAACGAATTGATAACCTTCTTTTGGGAAGTCGGTTAATTAATTAATGTCTCGACTTTGATAGTAAAGTACGAAATACATAAAATGAAATTTAAGAATCTATACTTAATATAATAAAGCGTAAACACACACTTCTTTGTTGCCTAAGATATCAGCAGTTACAGCATATTTTCAAATAACTCTTCTTTTAATAAAAAGCCCTACACTTACGTCACGCTTTACGCTATATATTTTCACGCCGTTAAACTTAGGGGTAAATATTTTGGATAAAAACCCTAATGTGGGAAAGAGAAAAGAAGAAGAAGAAGAAGCAAGGTTGCCATGGTTTGTCATCATGTCATTTTGACATTTGCAATTGATAATTTTACAAATGTGAACAATAAAATGAAGTTTTATAATTCTATGCGGATGAAGTCGCATGGGAACAGCTAGTTTATAATAAAAGTAAAAATTAAATCAAAACTTACGTTTGTAGCAATCCAAAACTTAAGTAACAAAATTTGGAGACTATTATTTTTTATTTTATCACACTATTTAATAATTGTGCAACATATTATTTACGATATTTGTTAGTAAAAATATCAAAGTACGTGTGTTTGTATCTCCGTCAGTTTACATACTAACTCTCAATGGTGCTTTTCTGTTTTCCAATTTAAATGTATCCGCGTATCATTTATCACTTAATATCGGGGATTCTCAAACTGTACAAGAAATAGGTATTCAAAGACAGTAATACGGTGTTTTATTTTAACTATTTATTCGCTGTTCTAGTATAGTTATTGGTAATGTTAAATATAATGGCCGACAACGCATCTGTAGCTCTGATGTTGCGGATGTCTGGGCGTCGTTCACCACCTGTGTTCCCACCGCTCCTTTGCCCCCTTCTCTAATAAAAAAAACTAGTCCTTTTTCATTTACCACCCTTTATTTTCACATAAAGTGAAAACGAATTTGTTAGAGAAGGTAGATCGATGGAATTTGGCATACATCTAGAAGATAGTTTGGGAGAATACAAAGGCTACTTACTTTTGTTTTTTTTTAGTTCGACGCGGACGGAGACACCGAGTATCGCAGGAACATTGTTTCGTTACTCATTTATTTTCAGAAAGATAATATGTTAATACGTACAAAGTTTGAGAACCTCAGATTACTGCGCATTGAATAACGAACGGAAGAAAAAACCTAATTGGTTTCTTAGGTTACATCAACTTATAAGAAACTCAGCGTAAAATAGCTCTTTATAGAGTAAATAGAATTAATAAGACAAATGTAAACATACAATTGATGTTTTCGCGATGTATTTGTCGATATAGTCTCTTATATTATTAGCTTCCCGCGACTTCGTCTGCGTTATATTGAACAATAATAAAAATGTGCCATATGTAACTCACTGATGACAGTTTTTAATGGTCTATTTTTGGAATGGGTCCAGTAGTTTTTGAGCCTATTTATTACAATCAAGCATTATAAATGCGAAAGTTTAGATGGATGGATGTTTGTTAGTGTTTGTAGCCTAAACGACTTAACGGATTATGATAAAATTGGCATAGACGTAGAGGATAGTCTGGAAGGACACAGAGGCTACTTGCATTTGTGTTTTTTAATTCAGTACGGACGGAGTTGCGGGCGAAAGCTAGTATTATTATCAGTGAAAACCCGCGTTTGCTTTCAGTTATAATCGAACTGAACAACTAACAAGTATGCATGGACTAGTGCTAGGAACATTATTATTATTCGAAGTAGTCTTCATGTCTATTTTACATTTTTCGATTATCTAAGCTGCCACTTCCTGGAGACGCTCATGCTCATGGAACAATTAAGACAGATGAACTGGTACGTCTCGGATATAGTAAGCTAAAATGTTTAGATTATTGGATATTTGTTATTACATATCACCAGATCGGCTCAGAGTATCTCGATGAAATTTGACATAGATGTATAACAGTCTGGAGGAACACATAGGGTTAGTCCACGCGCACGGAGTCGCGGGCGACAGTTAGTTTCACACGATAACGTTGGGGAAGGTCAGGCGCAGTAATTATAAGATGTGCAGGGTGAAAGGACCTAAAAGGTTAAATTTGCAAACGAAAAGGAATTTCCAAGAGAGTTCCCTATCTTAAAATAACAAAAATATTTATGCTAAACAAATAAATGGGCAAACCGTACTGAGAACGTAGCTTATCATCCCCCGCACCGGGAAGAGGATGACAATTTGCACACGCCGGGGCTCAAATATGGGAAAATACTTCCCGTAACGCATGGAACGTGTCAAACGATTAGATAACACTTGCTGTTGCCCGCGACTCCGACCGCGTGGAATTAATAAAACAAAACTGAGAAGCCTATGTGTTCTTCCAGACTATCCTCTACGTCTATGCCAAATTTCATCGTAATCCGTTCAGCCGTTTAAGCTACAAACTCTAACAAACCAAATCCATCCATCTAAACATTCGCATTTATAATATTAGTATGATGTTACTCACTGATAACGTAGTTTTTTTAATGATGTATATTTTTTTTAAATTGGCCCAGTAGTTTTTGAGTTATTTCAATACATACAAAAGTACAAATCTTTCCTCTTTATAATATTAGTATAGACACAGATAAAACTACATTTGCACAGCGATGCAAAACATTGCCATTCAAAAGGTTATCAAACGAATCGCTTATGGGTTTTTTGAAGTTATTATCAAATTGCAAACAAAATTATTTTTATCTTTTAAGTTTTTATAAAGTCACTTTTGCTTGCGACATTTCCGTTCGGAATTCATCAAAATAAATCTAGTATTATATAATTTATTACATGATGATGTATCTTTCTAAGAGAGTGCGCTTTGACTAAACTATCGCACAACTGTTCAGTCTCGCTTAATTACTCGATTTCTAGTTGTGTAACTAAATAGTTGAATTGACTGCAAAACAATCGACAATCTCAATTCTTTTTTTTTTAGTTTTCTGTTACAAACAAAAATACAAACCTTTCCATTTGATAAGTATAGCTTTGTGATCTGAGACATTGTGTACAATCTGCCGCACATCAATAAACAAGTAAGATAATACATATGCCAGTTGCTGGCATTATTGCATGCTACTGGCATGGATTTTGTGACAAGTTAAAGGAGGGGATAACGGTGGTACAAAACTACAGTTTGTCTAAATGAGATAGATTAGTTTGATAAATGCAGGTTATTATTAATTTGAGAAAACATTTTTTTTTTAATTCATTGACACTATGAACCTATCGATTCGATATCGTATGAATTGTCAAACGAATCATATTTAGACAAACTATAACACCTTTTATACGATCTCATACTTTACTGTCTGAAGTCACCATCGCGGTGCCTCGTAGCAGCTCGGTTAGACGGACCAGGAGATGCGAGCTGTTCAAACTAAAACCTTATCGTATCAACGTAGATCGGAACTCTGTAATTTTCAGAATCTCCAGCAGTTATAATGATTTTTTAGCCATCGGTTGTCATGATGTTGACATTTTCCAGGACTCCATGTCCAGATTTTTGAACTTAATAAAAAGGATCTCGCCTTATAGTACCAACAGTAACACTTTTGAATTTTATTAATTGTTTTTGTTTAATATGTGTACCCTAACTTATATTAGTTGTAATTAACGTGATTCAACGTTCGTTAATGAAAAGGTAAAACATAATTTTTTTGTGAGCGCTGTGTACGCCTGGCATCTGTATGTTCTACTGCTATTTTGTTTTTCATTGTCTGCAGTATATTATTTTGGTTGTGAACTTTGAACATGCAATTGGTGTACCTTTCCAATAAATAAATGTGCAGACTTTGTGCCAGTAACTGGCGTGCCAGTTGTCCCTTTTACTCTCTTGTGTATTTCAACCTTACATATAATAGTTAGTACACATTAGTACCGATATCCAACAAAATAGGGCGCACAACTAAACTATCGGACAACCGTTGTGCGATTGTCGATTGTTTCGCAGTCAACTGTTTAGTTGCACAACTAATAATCGAGTAGTGTAACCTCCATATAAGGTAATGACATCAAAGAAGACTAAACAGTTGTGCGATAGTTCAATCAAAGGTTTGGCGCTTTTAAACGCTTCAAGTATCTCAACTGATGCGATTTTTAATAGGGTTAAATGAAACTTCAGAACATTTGAAATTAATTTTATTTCACCTTTATTGTAGATAGATATCTTTTAAGACAAAAATACAAAAAAAAAATCATACAGATTTCATTCTCCTTTTTGATGTCGATTAAAATACTCTTATTAATTGTAAATGGCACTAAGTATTATTAACTATATTTGAATAATAATAATCTATACTATTATAATAAAGCGTAAACACACTTCTTTGTTGCCTAAGATGTCAGCAATTACACCATATTTTTGAATACTTTTTTTTATAAAAAGCCCTACACTTACGTCACACTTTAGGCTATGTATTTTCACGCCATTAAACTTAGGGGGTAAATGTTTTGGATAAAAACCCTAATGTGGGAAAGAGACCATAAGTTGTTGCCAACATCAAGGAAGTAAGATTGTCAAGGTTTGTCATGTCATTTTGACATTTGTAATTGATAATTTGACAAATGTAAACAATAAAATAACATTTTGAGAATTCCATGCGGATGAAGCCGCACGGGAACAGCTAGTTGTATATAAAAGGCACTATATACTTATGTATTACGATTATATATCTATCTCTTTCACTATTTTATTAACAGAAAAATACGGTTATAAAATACAATTTTAGTCACCATTTCTTAAATTATGAAACTAAAAGGTAAAAAAGATATAAATGCTTTGAAATACTAAGAGCCTGTCCCACCAAATTGTTAATTGTCAAGTGATAGAGCCCGCTTTAACATCTTGCTGTAGGGCTCGCTCCAATACCACGACCACACAGAAGACAGGCGTGAAGTGGAACCAATTCCGTGTACAGTGGAGGCCTAATTTAAGTCCCTTTCTCTTTACCACCTTTTTCTTATAAGGAGAGGAAGTGGATTAGACGGTAGAGGAGATGCATAGGAAGGGGAAATATCATCTTTATGTGCGTCTCCTCCTCTGTCGAATATGGGTAGGCAACGGATCTGAAATTGCGGATGTCTATGTGCAGCGGTCGCTTTCTATTTCGGTGGATTCAGGCCGCTTACTTTTTGCCACCTTACATAATTAAATAAAATATAAATGTGAAATATGTGATGGATATATCGGCATTTGTTACTTTATCTGACAGTGACGTGAAGCTATCTGAGCCTCTATCAGCCAGTAGTGGGACAGACCCTTAGTTGTCTAGAATTCAAACGAACATGATTGACTGAAAGTTTTTTTATTAATAAAACAGTCATGTTTTTTATTACTAGCCCTATAATGTTAATTATAACAATTCCTACCCCCTAATATCCTCCCTTCTTTATAAATTGGTTGTTTTTTCTCTGATTTCTATATAAAGCACAAATAATGTATAGAGGTAGTAATAAAGTCAACTTCACAACGTTTAAAAAGGAAAGATTTGTATTTTTGTATGTATTGAAATAACTCAAAAACTACTGGGCCTATTTAAAAAAATCTTTCACTACTAGAAAGGTTATATTTCTGTAAGTAACATAGGCTATGCTTTTTATTATTGTTTTAATTTCATGCGGGCGAAGTCGCAAGCAACAGCTAGTTTGTTATATCGGAAACTGACCAAAAAATTCGACAAATATTTGCTTTTACTGTTATCTCAAAAGAGATAATGTACAGGCAAAATATTACCCTTATTTATTCCATTTGTCAAATTTCTTCCCCTTCTCGTCTTTTCCGTGTATGAAAAGGGGAAGGGAAATTAGACAATTTAATTTCTTACTATTGTCGAAAGTACAGTCAGGGAATTTGGTGTTCCGTCGTAAAGATAAAGAATTTAACGCCTTGAAACGAAGAAAAAAAACCAATAGACATTTTTTATATGTCCGTAAATCAGACGAATAATTGTTTTTTTTTTTGAAAAAATAAGCCATGTTAACGTAATTTTTTTTAATGGTCAACTTATTTTTAAACCCGCTTCAGTAGTTTTTTAATTTATTGTAGTTATTTCCGAAAATCAGACGAATTTCGGTTTTTTTGTGAAAAAAAGCCATGTTACTGATAACGTAGTTTTTTATGGTCAACTAATTTTTGAACTGGCTTCAGTAGTTTTTTAATATATTTCAATTCATACAAAAATATAAATCTTTCCTCTTTATATTAGTATAGATTATTGTTTATACAATTTACTGCTAATTGGTTCTTTATACGGAGTTTGGTTGCAAGGGATAATTTCTGAAAATGAAACACCGCGGATTTCCGCGACTGTACTGTAGTTTGTGTGATATTTTTATTTCTGTAAGTCATGTGACTAGCGGCGGTTCTGTACAGTGTGTGTGTGTGCCGCGGGCGCGCAGCTGCTGCAGCGTGCGGCGGCAGGAGACGCGGCGCGCGCCTAGTCGCGGGAACCCGAGCACGCGCTCCACACACACCGGCGTCTCGCGTCTATACAGTGCGCAATATGCATATGACGACATTTGCGACAAACTTTTTTTAAATATACTTTATTACTTTAAAAGTCCTGCAAAGATTTTTTTTAATGTAATGTGATTTAATGGCACAATTTAATCATTAAAAAGTGTCTTTTTTCAAATTCCCTCGCTAAGTTCTAAAACGCACACTATTGGTCGAAGCAAGTGGCTTATCTAATATGGCGTCGCTGCGTTGACAATACACAGTTCATTTACGTTACTTTATGTAGAAATACACTCTTGAAGTACTTTACTGTAAACACGATATCAAAACAAACTTTAAAATAAAAAATTAATGAATAGAATTATTAATTACCACTTATTTGTACCAACTTACTTGTCTCCTTTCATCCGTTCTTTTTGCTGACCAACATTCAGATCCATACATCACGACAGGGGTTACTTTAAGTGGAATTTGACCCTTGAAAATGTGTTGTTATTGGCATACCTGAAGAAGATGTGATGCTCGACGCAGCACCTCCACAGCAGCTTGCAGGCGCTGGTGGAGGGCAGGCGGAAGCGCAGGCAGCTCTGCCAC